CATCATCATCATCATCAGCATCAGCATCAGCATCACCATCATCATCATCATCATCATCATCAGCATCGTCATCATCATCATCATCATCATCAGCAGCAGCATCATCGTCACCATCATCAGCATCATCATCATCATCGTCCTCCTCCTCATCATCATCAGCATCATCAGCATCATCAGCATCAGTATCATAATCATCATCAGCACCATCATCCTCATCATCATCATCAGCAGCATCAGCAGCATCAGCATCATCATCATCAGCATCATCATCAGCATCAGCATCAGCATCAGCAGCATCATCATCCCCATCAGCATCAGCATCATCATCACCATCGGTATCATCATCGTCAGCATCTGCATCAGCATCATCATCAGCATCCTCATCATCATCAGCATCATCACCATCAGTATCATCATCAGCATCACCATCATCATCATGATTATCGTCATCATCATGATTATCATCATCAGCAGCATCAGCATCAGCAGCATCATCAGCATCATCATCATCAGCATCAGCATCAGCATCAGCATCAGCGTCATCATCATCCGCATCATCATCAGCATCAGCAGCATCATTATCATCATCGTCATCATCATCATCATCAGCAGCATCATCATCCGCAGCATCGTCATCATCATCATCAGCAGCATCATCATCCTCATCATTTCCATCATCATCATCATCATCATCATCATCAGTAGCATTATCAGCATCAACATCATCATCAGCATCATCAGCATCATCACCACCACCACCACCATCATCATCATCATCACCATCACCTTCATCATCATCATCAGCATCAGCATCACCATCATCATCATCATCAGCAGCAGCAGCATCATCAGCATCATCAGCATCATCAGCATCCTCAGCATCATCATCATCAGCCGCATCATCGTCGTCATCGTCCTCATCATCCTCATCATCGTCATCATCATCACCATCATCATCATCATAATCAGCATCGTCATCAGCATCACCAGCATCAGCAGCATCATCATCAGCAACAGCATCATCATCAGCAGCAGCATTACCACTATTATCAGAACAATCATCATCCTCATCATCATCATGATAATCAGCATCATCATCATCGTCGTCATCATCATCATCATCATCATCATCATCATCGTCGTCATCATGATCATCACCATCGTCCTGGTTCCTCATTTTCCTCCTCCTGTTCCTCCTCCCTTTCCTCATCAGTTTCCTCATCATGTTCGTAATTTGTCCTCCTCGTTCTCCTCCTCCTCTTCCTCCTCCTCCTCCTCCTCCTCTTCCTCCTCCTCGTCGTCCTCCTCCTCCTCCTCTTCCTCCTCTTCCCCGTCCTCCTCCTCCGCCTCCTCCTCCTCCTCGTCCTCCTCCTCCTCCGCCTCCTCCTCCTCCTTTTCCTGCCCCTCCCTCTCCTTAGACTCTCCCCGTTCTTCGTTGCCGCGCCGTTTTCCGTTCTGCCTTTTCTCCCCACTTCCGCCACCTACGGCGTTTCTTTTGCAAAGGGCGCGCACATGAGTTTTCAGTCGCCCAGGCGCGCACGCCGATTTTCCTTGTCGCCGTCTCCACTTCGGCCAGCACGGGCGCGCGGTCCATCGGCAGTTCGCGAAGCCGTCGGGGCAACCCCGCGGGCCAGGCCGTCGGGGCAACCCCGCGGGCCGTTGGCGCGCGAGGCCAAGCCGCGCGCCGCCGCGCTCGGGCGGGAGGCAACGCGAAGCCGAGCTCGGCTTCGAGCTGCCCCTCCTCAGCCCTGGAGCTCACCGCTGTCTCGTCGAACTTCCTGAGCGCGCTCCGCAAGACGGCCAGAGGATCAGCATGCTCCGCACACGCGTGGCGCGAGAAAAAATCAAGTAGGGCTGCCACCGCCAGCAGGGACACATAATTCAGAAAATTGCCATGAAGAGATACTCCGCGGGGCCAATGAGCTCAGAGATCTTCGTGAAGAGCTCAACCGCATCACGGCAATGATGACAAGCAATACAGCTGCCGCTGGGGCCGAATTTACCTCTGCGGGGCAACCTGCTCAAATGTGGTACAGGCTGCAGTAGCTACAACGCCTGTCACAGATGCGCCGATGCCTCAGGTAGCCGAATCAGCAGATAACGCAGGGACACCTGCTGCAGCAGCACCAGCGGGGTTACCTGCCAATGAGCAGTGGCTGAGGCGCATGGAAAGGGCTATTGAAAGGAGCTCGCAGTGGCTCCAAACACCATACCATGCGGCAGCATGCCCTATGGGCGTCCGCTGCGCCAGCGTAGAGCTGAAAGCCAAGTGAGCGTGCGCTGCGGCACCAGCGCCTGATCAGAGCGCGATACGCTGCACACGGTGCTGATGGCAACACAGATGAACAGGTAGCTACGCGTGCCGATGAGGACACTTCCCCCTGCGCCCGACCGTCGCCATCGTCCCCGTGGATTCCTGATCCTCCTCTTCCTCCTCCTTTGATGGCTTGACAGAGTGGCCCGTAAGGCCCGTGGAATGCAAGCCTTTTGTCGCCACCGGCTCGCCGAAACACATGTTTGCCGCAACCGGGACCCCTTCAAACGTAGGCCTCCTGGAATTTCTTGCGGCCTTCTAATGCTCTCGACAGTTCCCCGCCACTCACTCACAAACGAGGTTCCCGCTCAGGACTTCCTCCACAATCAGGCCTAAAGAAGCCAAAAGTGACGACAGTTATTGGTTTGAGGGTGGCCGCCTCGGATTATCTACATGCGAGCCCCATAACGATGGGGTTCTCAATCGAGTCTTCTTCGCCATTCGCTCACGAACGACGTTCCCGATCCAGATGCATTCAAGACTCAGGTCTCAAGATGCCTAAACTAGTGACGATAAATACAAGTTTGAGGGTGGCCGTCTCGGATTAGCAACATGAGATGCGGGGCCCTACAAA